CCGGTGGGCGGCGCTCCGAGCGGGGTCATCTGGCAGTCTCCGGCCACCTAAATTAGGACCCGGAGACTGCCAGATGACCCCGCTCAGAGCGTCGCACACCGGAGCAGCAGTGACGCGACGCTCGGCAAGGTAAGTAAGATGACACCTGGCGCTGACTCGAGTATAAGCTGAGGGGGGCACTTTTCACCCAAAAAAATGGGCTGAAAATCTCGGCTTATACTCGAGTATATACGGTACATTAGAATTAAAAAATCAATGTTAAAAGCAAAAACATCAGAAGGCAGCTGACATTTTCCAAAACAGATTGGAAAAATCAGAAGACTCGATAGTAATGAGGATGTTTTATATGAGAACTACTGAAATCACTACATAGAACTAATATTTGACCTCTTTTCCTTGCAATGGGAGATACAATACTCAACACTTTCCACCAATCACAATTCAGAATAAGTAATTTACACCAAATAAAGCTATATGTGTCTACGCTCAGCCTCTTCACGACCATCCCAATGGAAATATTTGTACACTTCAGTTGGAGTAAAAAAAGATATCCAAAGCAACACACCCAGCATCACTTCAGGGCATTGTGGATATTCTGGTCTTGATTCTGTGGCCATCATTAGCCATACTAACCCAGATTCTGTGAGAGCCATTAGAAGTAATGGCAGGGTTCCTGTGAGAACCATTCATGTACTGGCAGATCTTCTGGAAGTCCTGGCCGGGATTCTCAGAGAAGATCTGTAAAACCTGGCAGGGACTCTGCAAGTAGCATAACGGTAACAAGTTTGCTTTGGAGCAGAGAGCATAAGGCACCCAAACTGACCTTCCATGTACTCCCCCAAAGCCCTGTTCATCTGATGGGGCACCCTGCGAAGTCACAGTTGAAAGCTGAACTCCAGGTAAACAGCTTAATACACAGATTAAATACTTATATGAGAGCTGTTTTACCTGCCCTTAAATTTGTATTTCTGTCCATCCAGTCCTGAATTTAAACAGCCGTAACACACAACACAGCCCTGTCTGGCAAGGGAGGGGACCTGAGCTTTCTCTGCTGCAGTTTTACTTTCACTTACAATTCTCCTCCCCACCCCTTCCATGTGACTGTATAGTAAAAGGGGAAGCAGCACACTGATAAGCTAATCTCTTTGTCCCTCAGCTTTCTCCTCCCATCAGTATGGTATTTCAACTGCAGCATAGCTGACTGGATTATTTTGGTTCTTCTCCCTCCCCCTCTCTGAACTTTACTGTACAGGGACTGCAGAAGTTTTATTTGGGAATTTACTAGGGATGCACCGATACTGATACTAGTATCCGTATTGGCGCCGATGCCGAGTATTTGGCCGAGTACTTGTACTCGCCCAAATGCTCCGATGCCTAGCCTGATACTTCCGGTATTAGGAAGCCGGGCAGCGAGTCATTACACGCTGCCCAGCATCCTGATTGGCTGGGAAGCCGGCTCCATGCTCTCTCGTCTCTTGTGCAAGTATGTACTCTGCTATAACACAAACCTGTTACTTCACACTGAATGGACAAAGTGCGGGTTGATTTAAAGTGTACGTAAAGTCATTAAAAAAAAAAAAAAAA